GCAGGCTTTAGATCTTATGCAGGGTTGTTAGATGAAGAAGATCATTCTAGTAGTGATGATTACTTAGATTCGGAATTATCTGACAATGATGTAGATGATTCGATCGAGAATATCAGCCATCTGCTCCAAAACACGTCAGACTAAATAGTGAGGCTAATGGAAAGCAGAACAATAACAAAGCCTACAGAACTGCCCATACTGCTGCTGTCATTGGTAAATCTGAGCCAGATAGTGACAACAATAGGGTTGACCTTATAAATTATGATAATGCACGTGCAGTATGTGTTGCAGACATTATGGCTTGGGATGAAGCTGAAGAAAATGTTTCGATCGGATCGTCCCTGTTTCGATCAGCTGTGTCTAGAATTCAGTCACCACTGGATGCAAATTTAACAGCACTGGATTGCTTATTGATACTGCTGACAGCTGATTTCATTGACAGCCTTGTTGAAAACATAAATCTTTATGCAGTGGACAAAAATAAAGAAAAATATACCACTGAGAAAAAGATCTACATTGTCTGAGTGGCAGCCAATGACTAGAGAATCTTTTTTTCCCCAGTTTCTCAGTGTAGTGATAGCAATGGGAATTACACCGAAACATGATTACTGGTCTACAGCGAACCGCAAATTCAAACCAAGTTCAAAGTAATGTTTCCAAGAACTAAGTTCTTGCTTGTTTACCAGTCAATGCTGCATATATCAGAACCCAACGCACAAGGCCAAGCAAAGATTGAGCCATTTGTGAATAATCTAGTAGCAAATTTTCAGTAAGGATTTGACCCAAATGAAAAGCTTTCTGTTGATGAGATGGTGATTCCTTTCAAAGGCAAGAAGAGTACAATGCAGCCAAACCTCACAGGTATCATATAAAAACATTTGGTCTTTGTGATTCAATAACAGGCTATGTTTATAATCTGCTAATTCACTTTGAAGCAAAAACTACCTACAATTCTGAGCTTTATCCAACATCAACTCATGCTGTAAAAGTATTTTCAACCCTACTGCTGGGTGTTGAAGGTTACCATCATCTATTTGCAGATAGATTTTATACATCACTCCCTCTCATTCAATTTCTTTTATCCATGACAGTGAATTATACTGGCCCGGTGAATAAAAACCGCAATGGATTACCACAGCAGCTAAAACAACAATCAACCATCTTTGGAACTCCGAGATGGTTAGTTAATAATTAGCGGAATATCCTTTGCGTTTCCTGGAGGGATAAAAAAAAAAAACCTTGCATCCTACTGACCACAAATGGAATTTCTACATTTCAGGAACGCCACTAAGGGAGTCGAAAGGTTCAGAAACCTAGCCGCATTCACTCAAACAATATGAGTATGAATGGCTGTGATCGTTTGGATCAAATGGTCTAGTACTATAGGAACCACAATCGCAAAACTAAGAAGTGGTGGAAGAAGGTTTTCACGTGGATCGTGGAAGTACATGTTATACCATCATGGAGGTGGAGGCGATCACTGTGGCTTTCCGCTAGTTAGAGAACACGATACAAACACACATAGTGATTGAAACTGACTCATAAAGCATGCCGAGGAAGGTCAGGACAGGCATGCTTCGTGCAGAGTAGCATGTTTCACTACGGAGAACACGAGTGAGGAGTATTGTCTGGATTTTTTCTCCGGGACACGCCGATGTGTTCGACAATGAACAGACGGACAGACTGGTTGGCTCTGCACAACCTGGTCGATACTGATGCATAATAAGGCAGAAGTGGTTAGTGCCTTGAGGGAGAGCGTATACAGTTCGGAGGAGCAAATGGATCACCGCAGTCTGGTGACGAGGGGTTCTGGCAGATGCTCGATGCTCAGAGAAAAGGCAAGACAGATGTTTAATCACAATGCTACTGGCACTATTAGTATTGGAAATCTGCACTGGCTGCTTAAGATGGAGACTGAGCGCTTATCTGAATGCCCCGAGTACTGTGATGTCGGTTTTTAAATCAACTCAGCTAAAATCTCTGGGAGACGATACTTTGCGCAACGCCCTCTGTTGGCGGCTAATCGCTGTGCACAGACAACCGTCGCCATAGACACGGAAGTCCATCTTCTCCCGACTTCAACTTAACATAACTCGACTTTTGTTTCTGTTTAGGGTTCAGAGGAGAAGGATTTATCGTTTGTCCCTGCGTTCATAGCTAATGAATTCTAGTGGAAACTTCTGTTCATTTTGAGTTATTTGCCCATTTGTTTAGAGATTGGACTTACTGAATGCAGATCAGCTTTGACTCTGAAAGAAAAGTCTTTTTTACCTATGTTGGCCCATCTTTCTGCAGAGAATCTGTTTCTGTGATTTATTATAACTCTGGTCGTGGTGCACCACCCGAGGTGACGATGACAAGCGAAGAAGAGTCATTGTTTCCACAATCAACGAACATGACAATTTAGTGCTTTATTAATATCTTACCCTACATGACGTCTCCGGACAGTCCAACGTTTTAGAGGGTGGTAAGACTGGGTTTCATGGCTTTCCGATCCTTTCAATGGCCCTAAAATATTTAGAACTGGCCCTAAGTCCAACCCACCCATGTCCCACGAAAGAGTGCAGTCTAGGTCTCACGACTGCATGCAGCCTAGATCCCACGACTGCGTGCAGCCTATCTACCACCCCCTGAAATATTAGACTGTCCCGTGACCTGTGAATTTCGCCTATTTAGGGTAGGATATTAATAAAGCACCGACAATTTGTATTTCTGGAACGTGTGAATTACTTTTTGTTGTTTAAATCTAAAGCAAAATGTGTAGATAGCAGCTGTCACATAGGCGCTGTCACGACTAGCGCCGCAGAAAGCATTGATGATGATGATGATAAGGAGGAGGAGGATGAAGATGATGGTAATGATAAAGAATAGGTGGCTGACAGACTCAATAAGCATGGTTAGGAAAATCCAAAGTGGCTAATTCTGGACTAGAATGGGTGACAACATTCAGAAGTTCTACCTCATGAACTATCCTGTCTGTACAAACCAAGTCATACCAGAGTAAAAGGAACCTAAAGAGCTGACAGACTAACCATATCTGCAGTGGCTGGTGGAGGCAGAAGTATGGGCAGGTCGGACATATTAAATGCTCTGCGTTCCTGAGACTGTGAGAACAAAGGAGTCATGGGCAATAAACATGGATGTTAAACGAGGACAAACATGTAGAAACCGTCTATAGGGTAAAGAAACAAGATACGCCAGTCAACTCCTATTGTTTACGTTGGGCATACAGACACTGAGATAGCTGCTGCATCGGAAGACTGAGTACCAGTGGGTCGGACCGATGTGCCAGGATGTCGATGGACATCAAGTAAGTAACAAGTAAAAGGGATACATTGATGTGCAGTTTAGTTTTTATTGGTGTTTGTTCAGTCACAATGACTTTCCTGCAAGCCTTTGTTTGCATCAATGGTTGCTTTTCGTTTCGACGAAATTTATAGTTATTTGTTCTAACAGGGAAGTCGCCGTGGCATAGTTGCTAGATGCTCGACTGTGGATTGGAAGGTCGCGGGTTCACTCCCTGGAGGAGCCAAAACTTTTTTCAAAAATGACCCAGTCTTGAGTGGGTACCAGGTGCAGTCCTGGGAAGTAAAGGAGACCGCCGTGATGCTGACCACATCACCCATCTTCTGTCGTTAGTCTATAAAATATAGGTCCTGCCCTATAAAACCAAGACGCGGGAAAGGCCTGGAAAGGGTCCTTTACTTTACTATTTGTTCTAATTAATTTTCAATTATTAGGGTGACATGTCTGTGGCATTTCTGTACAACAACAGAAATAGTGCACGAATCTAAAAAAAAAATAAATAAATAAATAAACCAAACAGGCAATGTTGATAACTTTAAAAAAAAGATACAAACACAATATTAGTATGTGAATCTGTTTATTAGTTAGTTAGACATCCCATTTCAGTTTAACAGAAGAATGAAAATGCGTTGTTGAATTAAACACATTTGAAATGCCTAAATTACTTTACGTCATATGTCTAAAGTCTAATTAAGGGTTGTCGATTTTGTGTTCGTTTGTATTATCAAATATAAACAGAATGTGAAAGCTTCGATTCTCGGCTGTTCGTTGTCATCCTTTTTTAGTATCGTTACGTTTGCACGGGCTCCTCATCCGATTGTGCACTCCAGCAATAAATACAACTTTGAAAGCCTGCAAATTAATCAGCATTGATATTTAGTTGTCTATTTCTTTGTAAAAGCTTTCAAAAGCGCAAAGCCACATTTATATGTTAAGTAAGAAACAATTCTTTTTATAGTAGCTGTAATTCTGTTTTAGCTATGTAATAAAGCAAAAAAGCAAAAAAAAAAAAAAAAAAAAATGATAACCTGTCAGCATAAGGAGTTGTCTTCCTTTCCTCTTCCTTCTATTATGTATCTTCGTTTTTTTATCATTCTTTTTATCATCTTCCTTATCATCATCATCATCATCATCATCATCATCATCATCATCATCATCATCATCATCATCATCATCATCATCATCATCATCATCATCATCATCATCTTCTTCTTCTTCTTCTTCTTATTCTTCTTCTTCTTCTACTTCTTTTCTTTTTCCTCTTCTCTTATTCTTCTTATTCATTTCTTTTTCTATTCCACCTACTCCTCCTCATTCTCTTCCTCTCATCCTCCCACCCCTTCATGGGCTCATCTGTGTAAGTGATTACCCCCTACGAGCATGAATGCTGATCAGTCACAGTTCTTATCTCGGTGTGTTCGGCTGCAGGTGTCTGAAACCTCCAGTGCCTTCCCAGTGTGATGACAACCTTAGACAGGTCGAGCATGTTTACTGGTTTACCAGTCCATTTTTTTCCGTGACTGATCTCTTCTAGGTCACATATTTGCTGGATCAGATTTTCAGCCTCGGCTATCTAAGAGCATTCATTTCTAGGACGCTCCCTTTTTATAAATACTACTGCTACCGCTACGACTACTGCTGCTGCTTCTGCTGTTACTGCTTTTGCCTCGAGCAATACAACTACTAATATTACC